GAGGAGAGGAGAGGAGAGGAGAGGAGAGGAGAGGAGAGGAGAGGAGCACAGCGCATGGTTGGAAATCTGTGAGATGTCAAGCTCAGCTGATGGATCTGAAGTTGGTGATCAGAGATTATCAAAGCAACAAATCAGACGTGAGAATGGGGCAACATACTGCAAACCATACTCAGTTTGCAAAGTTAGGACTACACCTAATTGAAAGGTATTTATACCCTTGAACTTTATTTTTACATTAAAAACCAAAACATTTTTTCACTTTTATGTGACATACCAACACAACAACATCTCAACATCCAAAGGAATTAATACTTTTGTTTTTTTTTGCTCGAACAAGTGAAATAATGATCTTTGTGAGTTTCCTAATCATAATCTGTATAAGATGTAGGCTGTTGTTAATTGAAACCAATGAGAATGAGAACACCTTCAAATATTTATAGACTTTGAAATTGAGGCACTAGTGAACACCCTCACCGAGCATCATGAATGTTGTGTGCCTCATTCCTGTGGGGACTTGGATATTTTGGGGATGCTGATGAGCACAGGCAGTGCTCAAGACAGATGGGTGGTAGATGTGTATGAACGTGCCTAATATTCAGATTTTAAATGTGCAAAATGTATGCCTCAAGCCAATGAAAGCACCTGGTAAAAAGCAGATAAGTGAGACGGTATCCAACTTCAGTTCAAAAACCTATTACGTAGTATTTTTGTCACCTTGTATAATTGCTCATTTTCATCACATTCTCAGGAGAAAAACATCTAACGTTAACGTTTTTAATAAAATAAATTATCTAGTCAAACTTTTTGCTTTTCTTCTCCTTCTCTTGGCTTTTCCCTTTTTTAGGTGTCACTACAGCGAGTCTTCCGTCTCCATCTAACACTTTCTTCTGCATCTCTGTCACACAATCATGTCTTCTTTAATTCAATCCACAAATCTACTCCTTGGTCTTCTTCTAGTCCTCCACTTGGCAGTTCCACTCTCATCACCCTTTTACAGACATGCACACTATCCTCGTTAACCCAAATTAACGATGCAAAGTGTAATGTTATCTTAAGTTGAAGTTATGCCTAACTGTAGCAAACAGGGGGGCGAGTTAGCAAGTTAGCATGACCACAGATCATTGATGGACCAAGGTTTTGATAAATGTGTTGTAATTGAGCAAGTTTTTTTTCTTTATCAGGTTATATTAGCGATGCTTCATACCATCTGGAAACATAGACAGAGAAATGGGATTCTACTCCCCCTGATACGAGGTAAATATTTACTACGTTAGAACTTATTGAAAAAATGTGTCGAAATTTTCTCTTTAGCTTATTAATGGTTTCTTGGGGGAAGAAAAAAAAAAAACCTAAGCCAATGTATAAACTTTTTGCACAATTTAGTAAATATGTTCAAATTTTGCTGCTTCCATTAAGTGCAAAAAATTGGTTGATGGTAAGACATCCAGTCTGGCCTTTCTGATTTAATCTCTTAAACATCTGTCATAAACTGACCCTCTGATATCTTCCTTTCTCATCCTCATCACTCAAAAAGGGAATCTCAACATCTTCATCTCTGCTACGGTGCCTCCAACTATTGGAATGCTTCAAACCACTGATTTTGGATGAAAAAAAAAAAAGAAGGAAATGAGAAACTCAAAGTACATTCCAAAGAGATTTAAAGTTTTATTTCAATACTGCATATAGGCATATCCTTGGTTTGCATGATCTCTCTGGGGCTTTGCTGTCCTACATATGGATTCTTCATGCCATGAAACACAACACATAATTAACTGAAGTTCTTGATGTTTGTAATCCCCTTCAGTTTAGTTCAAAACTTTTGTTGTTGTTTTTTACAGTGTAGGCTACCTCATTATGTTGAAATCTCAAATTTAAATTACTGCATACTTAAACTGGAAAAAAGGACCACAAACTATTAAAAAGAACCTCAGGAATTTGAATCCAATATTTTGACTTCTCGCCTTGAACAACAAAAGCTACGGTAAGCTGCAGATTTCTATGGATTATGATCACAAACTACTGTACAACCCAAAACAATGATCCACATTCTTTGTACTGATCTGCATGTGAATGCATTGGTTTTTTGTTGTGACCCCAAAAATTGGTAATATAGTGTATCTTAGATATGGTTGATGGAAGATTTCCCCAGAAACAGAAATGTTCGTCAGCATTGTATTGTGTAAAATACAGTGATGGCCGGGGTGTTATAATTTTTTACAATGTTTGAATTTTTTCCCCGATAGTCTTCCAATAAGTAGACCGATGCTGCAAAAGCTCTGCAAAGGCCTGTTGAAACCAAATTTACTTCATAAAAGCAGTCCTACCTGCTCTTCCATTCCTCAGGGGGAACAGCTAGTAAGTGTGTCTGCACAAGCGTGCAGGAGCCAGTTTGACCTTTGACCTGCACAGCCCTCTTTACCGTAGGCCTGCAGTGCTTGAAGAAAGTAACTTAGCAAAAGGAGCTATTTATATTTTTAGTATACAATGAGAGCAGTGAAGCTACGTTAAATAGTTTAAATTGATGTAACAATGAACAACTGTAAAAATAAACACTCTTAGTGTGAATGCACAAAAAGAGGAAAATAGGATCAAGAACCTAAAATACTTGTGCCGTTCACTTTAAATTTAATCAACAGTTAACTGAACTTGTAGCTCAGTCTAAATAGTGTCACTCAAATCAACACTTTTTCAAAAAAGCCTTTTTTTCAAACCGTTATTGTCCAATTTTTGCAAGTATCTGCCCATGGAGACTTACTTTCCTGCTCTTAGGTGGGAGGAGTTGGGCTTGGTATGATCCTCTGCTCCTGTTTTCTAGGTTTGGCTTGTAGTTCTCTTGCTACTTTCAGGAAATCACTTAGTTTTCAAGGTTGAGGTATTTACTCTCTAGTGCTGTTTTTTTTTCAGTAAAAGGGCAAATTTTGTTTTAAACAAAAAAAAGGATTGCCTAGGGCTTGGACTCATCGGATAATGTGCTTCTAACAGCATGTTATGTTTTCTTTTTTTTTTAAGTTAAAACATGATGCTATTATGCAAATTGAAACGTTCTGTTTTTTAATATAATGGGGTTGCAATTTAATGCAGCCATTAGTTTGAACCTTAATTTTAAATCATGACAGCAAACCAAACAAAACACCTTAACCAAGGCTTGATTTCCTCATTTGCTATAGGTCCCTACAATACATTTGGCTGTGGGTGTTTTGTTTTTACTCTTACTGAACTGCAACCTTAATGCTCTGCTCTAGGCTGTTAGTGATGCTCAGCTGCTCCTCAAATTCCAGACAAAGGCTGAAAATCCAATCAGACTCTAGGCTAAAC